CTTTTTTGGAGACGAGGTCTCATTACGTAGTCCATGTTGGCCTCGAACTCTCTATGTAGCTAGGCTGGTCTTGAACTCACAGCAATCCCCCTGCCTTCAGCCTCCCCACTTCTGAGATTATAAGTGTACACCCCCACATTTGGCTACTTTTAAATTTCTGATTAACAGGACCATGTCGGGACCATTTCAAGAGACAAATAACTAGTAGCCTGCAAAATGGAACCAGCACAATCCATCAGGAGGCTAATACTGTGAGGAGAAAACAGGAAGTTCCTCAATCAGACAGTGCAGAGTGGACCAGAGAGGAGCCGAGTGGTGGCAGAAATGAAGGTACAGATAAATACTGGCCAGACCCTGAAGTGTGCTGATGGCCACAGTTAGTGAGGCACCCAGGACCCTGACAAGAGCTGACAGCAATTCCACTGCTCCCAACTGCAGGCCAGGTGCAAGTCTCTCCCTGGTCCCTGTGAGATGAACAGCAACTCTGTGATCCTGTGTTGGCTGTTATCCACATTCTGCCTACGGGAAACCAGAAGCTCAGAGGCATCAGCTAAATTGTTCAAGATTTCTCTGTAGCACGAGGCACCGTTGTTGTTAGAAAGTGTCACGTGAGTGTGTGTGTACATGTGCAGTGTGTGTGCAGGGTGGGTGAGAGGGATCAGGACTCCCGAGCCCTGCATGTGGGGTCTGCTCCCTGAGGGGTCTCCAGGCTCCAACTAGGGCGGCAGGTGGGCTATACAAATAGAGATTTGGGGCAGGGTGAGTTCACACCCTAGTTCTGAGGGTCCGAGAGCCCCCAGTTAGGGATTTCCTGTTGACAACTGGAATAGTGCTGTGGTGTTCCCAGAGCTATGTTCACAGGTGTCCATTGGTATCAGATTCACAGAGCCATAGGATTCCAGAAGTTCAGAGCCAGGAGGTGAGAAAATCTGAACATAATTACGAAAAGATCTGAATTACTCACAGGGGCGTGAATTTCCCAGAGATCAGGTGGAACAGAGGAAGCTTGACAGGCAAGAGCAGGTATGCTCTCCGCTGATACAGAGATCGGAGACATGAGCAGAGTGCATCTGTGAGGATGCCATCCAGAATAGAGGCACGAATGGAATCACTTCTTTCAAAGTAGCTGCATCCAGGCCATTAAGAGTAAGAAACAGAAAAAGAAAAAAATCAGAGGAGTGGTTGCCCTGTGTGTGTAGGAACACAGGAGGACTGGGGGGAGGTGGTTGGAAGTTTCTGGTTCTTGGTGGGAGTGTGGGTCACATGGGTGTGTACACCCTGGAAACTCTTTTGCTGTGCTTGTCAATGGGTCCATGTCACTGCATGTTTGCACCTGTATTAAAAGATACAGGGGCAAAGCTGTCAAAATCCCTGTCCCCACTTGGGAAGGAAGTCCCATTATGAGAACATATGGCCAACTTTACAAAATGCATCTTGGAGAAAGGAGTCACCTCTGTGGGCTGAGGGCACCTGGTGGGTCCTCTTTTGCGTCTTCCACCATCCCCACCCTCAAGGGCAGGAGTCCCAGTGACTGGCATCGTGGATGGCAGATGACAGGGACCAGAGTTTTGGGGGTGAGACAAGGGTATGGAACTCACACTGTAACAACAGCTCAGTGCTATTTATACAACCGATGTCTTCCATGTTGTGATGCAAATTTCCACTTATGTACATTGGTATCTTTAGAACACAAGGCAGAGTATTGCAGTATTTAAACTTTTTTTTTGCAAATTGGAAGGGAGTATATGCTAAGAACCTGGTGTTTATACCCCAGACCACCAGCCAGATAGGCAGAGTCCTGAAATCTTTGTACTGGGAGCTTAGGGGCCACTGAGCTTCCAACACCACACACACACACCACACAAATACACACATACCACACATGTACTATACACATCACTTACACACTCCAAACACACACACCGTACTAACTACATACAAACCATACGCATACCACGCACAAAACACACGAACACACTACATACATACTTCAGCAACTCCTGTTACAGTCTAGATCTAAAATGTCCCTTTAAAGTCTCCTGTATCTAATGATAGGACCTTTGAAAAGTGATTGGGCCACGGGGTGCTATGCTCATTGGTGGATTAATTCATCAATGACTTTGTGGCTAAAAGTGCTGTTAGGAGGTGGGGCTTCACTGGAGGTGATCACAGGGGACATAACCAGGAAGGATCTTTTCTTGTCCCTGGCTCGTCACTTCTCTTTCTCTCTCTGCTTTCTGGTTGCCATGAGGGCAGCAGCTTTCCTCTTCCAAGCCCTTCCACCATACTATTTCTACCTCAGAGATAATCAACCACCGTCTGAATCCTCCAAAAATAATGAGCCAAAATAAACCTCTCCTTGTGTGTGTGTGTGTGTGTGTGTGTGTGTGTGTGTGCGCGCGTGCACACGCGCGAACTGTGGATCAAACTCAGGCCCTTGTGCTTGTGAGGCAGGTGGCAGAACCACTGAGCCAAATCCCTGGCCCCAAATCTTTCCTCTTTTAAGTTGCAGGTGTTAGGTATTTTATCCTAGTGATGGAAAAGCTGAGTAATACAGAAAATCAATACTGGGAGTGGGGTCAGTCCTATGAATATACCTGACCATGTGGTTCATAAGCTTTTGGAACTGGTTTGGAGACGTACATTAGGGAAACCCCATAAGCAGAAGTTGATAGGTGATTCTTGTCAGAGCTCAGAAGATCAGAATCCTGATAGGAATGTAGACAGTAAAGGTCAGGCTCAGGAGGCTTCAGGTGAGAATGAGGACTCTGTTGGAAACTGGACCAGAGGCCATGTGTGTTTCATTTTAGCAAAGAATTTTTCAAGTTTTGCCAATGTCCTAAGATTCTGTATCAGGCTGAATTTAAGGGTGATGAATCTGGTGGAGGAAATTTCAAGGCAGCCCAATTTTCAGGCTGTGGTGTGGGTGCTGCTGGCTCATTTCAGGCATATTTATAGTGAGAATCAGGAGCAAAAATTAGAGCCAAAAGATGTGAAAGTTTTCAGTGTCACCAGAAAGGAAGCACCTACAAAGCTTGGGCAAAGGAGAGCATGCTGAAAAGATTAGCATTAAAAAGAAGCCAAGTAATTTGCATTAGGATAATAGGAGAGATGGCTGGAAAGCACCTTAGGAATTGACCAGATCCCACCCTTTTCAGGTTCAAGAGTGTAGAAGCGTAAGCTACGAGAAGAAAGCTCCAGGCACCCTTCTCAATTAAGAGCTTTCTAAGGAAATGTATCCCTAAGTTCAGCAAACCAGGCACTCTGTAGCCATGATCCAAGGGGGCCAAACTACTGCTCATGCCTGCAGCAGACCTTGGCAGGGACATACCTGCTCGTTTCCTTTTTATTCTACCCAGGTCACAAGCCTATTAGTTGGTGCCTCCCACAGCTGGGATGGTTCTTCCCTCTCAGTTTGCATGCCTACCATTTCCGTCATCCACAGACAGACATACACACGACTGTGGTTTGCTAATCTGCTAGGCGTTTCTTACTCCAGTCAAGGAGACACATCATGATTAATGATCACACCACTCACAGTGACTGTCACTGACAGTGAGAGTGATGGCTGAGAATCATCATGCTCTTGTTAAGCTCTGTCTTAGGCAGAGTGTAAAAAGTAACTCATGAAACCTTTACTGCAAGCCTGTGTAGCAGGTCCTATTGCTCCTGTGATCTATGAACAGGGAAACCGAGGTCTGTACAATTATGAAATGTGCTCAGGCTCTGAGAAATCCCTAGAGCTGGGGTTGGGGACCTTGGGCTTAGACTTGCACCCTTCTCTCCCTCCTCTGTACCTCCCTCGGTGACTCTTACTGGGAGGGACACTATAGCAGGCCTCTGAGCCACCTGCTGATGAAGTCAAAAATCAGAGCTGCTGCCAGTGCTGTGGGAGGTGGGATGGGTATCATCTGAGAGGCCCTGGGTGCCTGGAGTGAGGAGTGACACTCAGATCTAGAGAAGAGGCTGCTTTGATGTCCCTTGTCCCTTGCTTGACCTTGCCTATTTACATCAAGATGTCTGAGCATCCCTTACAGTCCCTTTTATTTCACTCATTCCTGAACCTCCTTTATGGAAAATTCCAATGGACACCATTAATCCCAGCACTTTGGTAGGCTGAGGCAGGAAGATCACAAGTGCAAGGCCAGCCTGAGGAATGTAGCGACTTAGTGAAACTGTCTTACATTTTTAAAAAAATTAAAAAGGCCCAGGGACACAGCTTAGTGTGAAAGCCCTGGGTTCAATCCCTAGTACTTAAAAAAATTCCAATGAAAAATGATCTCTCTGATTTTTTTTTTTTTTTTTTTTTTTTTTTTTACGGGG